AATAATAATAATAATAATAATAATAATAATAATACTAAACTGAAGCACAAAGTTGACGACTTGATGCTAAACGCCTGTCGTGGGGACATTGAATCTAACCAAGTGAGAAAACAAACAACTCAGTAAAGTTTACAAATAGTGACCTATGTGGATCACAACCGTCCCGTAATCCCATGGCAATATTTTCCTGAGCTGGCCGCTTCAGTCTATGACTGCGCCCTTTGCCTGCGGCGACACTTCCTGTGTAGCTCCTCTAATCTCTTTTGTCACATTTCACGACCATTTTCTGGCCCGGAAATACTCAATTAATCACCTTTTAGGTGTACATATGGAACTCGACAAATTTCATAAAGTTTGTTCACTTTCTAGAAAGTCTGATTTCATTATTTTACAAATATATCTGGTTGCTTCTCAGTGCGGCAAAGATAGAAAAAAATTCTGAGCTGTGGAATCAAAACAGCTACACTTTGTCCTCTATCTTTTTTATAACTAATTTCTGTTTTCTGTTGCCTTATTCTAACTGTATTGCATTTTTTATAATCCGTAGTCACTTTCCTTCATTTTTTTAAAGAAGTTTTTGTCAAGATTACTTTTACAGTGCCTTGAATTCTTTGAACTGAGAAGCAGCTAGAGAGGTTTATAAAATAGTCGAATCAGAATTAAAGAGCCTTAGAAGATAATAAACTTACTTACTGCCATTTGTAGGCTTTATTTACACCACTAGAACAGTGATGTATAAAATTTTTCGGCAAACTAGTAAATGGTCAAGAATTGAGAGAAACATGATTAGAAGAATTGCTCAGAAGGAGGACTTGAAACTCTACGGAGTTCCTAGAATCGCAGTCGCAAGGTGTGCGTGCTAATCGTTACCGTACCCGATGACACGAAAACGGCATTATGATGGCGAAAGTTTAAGGCGACATTTTAGCATTAAACCGTTTAAATGTCAGTAAGAACTAAATGGACAAGTCTTATACTCTTACAGATGAATTAGATGGGTCGAAAACCCCAAAATGAGGGTTGACGATTAAGAAAAGGCATGTTTGGGGTTGGCACTCTTAACTGCATTATCACCAAATTTTTTTCTTTAAAACATTAGTTCTGTTAAATGAGTAAGTTTTCTTTTCTCCTTTTGAAATGGTTTCGTTTGAAAGATACTGGATGTGGCATCGAACAACATAACGATATACAATTCGGAAACGAATGAAAACCAGTCATTCAATCAGTTCTGCATAAACTTCTGCCAAGTCAATGAACCTGTTCGACAGTTTTATGTGCGTTTTTGAAAAATAAAGCAAGCATTTTTTAAACTTTTCACTTGACAGGCTTTATTTTTTGCTGATGACGTCGCAGCCGAACAGTAAGACTAAATGCTTTTTTATAAAAGGCAACTCAAAGCGAGAGAGAATTACATCAAGTAGATAAAAGCGATTTTTGTTTAGCATGCTAGTTCATAAATTTTGGTTTTCAGAATGGGTTGATTATTCAGCGATCTTCTTTAGCTAAAGGCGATGGTCTAAATGAACGTCTAAAGTTAGAGTATCCTGTTAGCTTCCTCTTTGGACGAAGTGTCAGCCTTCAGGTAAATTGAAACAGCTGGATTGTGTTTGAATATCTACCACCTATTTCGATGATGCAGTTGCTAATGTATTTAAATCTCGTTTTTTAGCCAAATTTTTTTGGGGTTGAGCTGTACAATGAAACCGATGAGAAATATCCCAAAGAACCTGATGACTTTTTTAATGACGAAACAGAGTCGAACCGTACAGAAACGCTTGCGGCTCTTTTACCAGTAAGTAACATGAAAATGGTCAAGTTGATATCGCTTCAATTTCGCGCTGAACATCTGCCTTCTTGGACGGATGATGATGTCAAGGATTGGGAAATGCGCGTCACTAAATTCTTCCAAAAGTACAATATTTGGCTTTTTCTTCGTGTTCTGCTTTTTTAAATATTAAGCGCTGATTTTACAAGTCACAGCTAACAGCGGAGAGGAGATAATTAAGCAGTAGAATTACCTCAAATTATCGACCCAAATTCGTCGATTGAGAAGACTGAGCCAGTTCTGGTCTTGAGAGTGTAAAGTCTTTGACAGCTACTCAGAAAATTTTTGTATACATTAATATTTGTTTAAAACTCAGTACAAGATTAAAAATTATATTAATTACTCTTTTACACTTAATACCTCCCGTTTTCGTAACTGGTGGTTATTTTAGCAATTATAAGTCAGATCATCTAAAAGTTTTTGTTTTATCACAAACATACATAGAAGAAGAGATGATTCGAGCTGGTATATCACTGTTGCCGTACCTTATTGTTGGTTTTTTTATAATGTGTGCATGTTCCGTGGTTTCAGTGATGGTGAGGGCTGCTTATATGCATCAAAGTAACATTTATAAGGTACTGTTTTTTATTTGAAGAATAGTATTTGAATTTCTCTTTCTGAGATTCCTCTTTGTAACTATTAATTCTTCTTGTTTTCTAAACAGATTATTTTGGCTGTGATGGCTTGCATAACTCCCTTAATGGCGTGTGCGACTGCTCTCTCTATAATGTTCATGGCTGGAGTACGATTTTCATCAATTTTATGTGTCATTCCATTCCTTGTGCTTTCAATAGGTTTGGCTTCATATAATGTCTCTAGTGACAGTTATATTTTGTAATGTTTACTAATTTTTGGATTAGATTTTTCTCAATATAGCTCCGGTTGCTCATCTTGCAAAAAATGTATTAGGTGTGGATAGTTCATACTTGATGATTCATGAATGGCAACGTGTGACGAAAGAGGTCAGAGAGAAGAAGGTTATAAATAATGATGGTGTTGGAAATCGAATATCTGAAGTTAGAATTCTTTCTTACCTCACTGATCTATTTCAAACCCCTGACTTTTGATATCAAACTCATCCATTTTTTCTGTAGTGTTGCATTAAACATTCTCCTGACTGACTTTCATAAAGGGTCAATTTTAATCCCTTAATATTTTTGGTTTTTTTTTAAAAAAAAACTAGATTTGCTTGTCATTAAAGGTTCTTTGTGAGGTTGGACCAGCAATCTTGATATCTGCAATAACAAATATCTTGGCTGATGCTGTTGGCTGTTGGACATCATCACCTGAAATTCGTCTTCTTTGTATTGGAAACTTGTTTTCAATGTTTATTGCTTACATTTACCAGGTACTCAAGTTTTGATGGCAGCTATGTTTATTTAAAGCCATTTTCATTTGATACTTGTAGTTTTTAATTGTGGTATTTTTCAAGATGACATTTTACTCTGGTTTGATGGTGATTGTCGGCAAGTTTGAAATTGAGGCTGAACGAGTAGAAAGGAACAAAATGGAAATTGCTATCAATGAAAACCGAGTCAATATTAGCCGACACAGTGGCTTACAGGTCAGGAGAAACTTATAGGAAACTTCTACGCGTAAATTGGGAAGTGTTGTAATTTGGATAGAACTGTTACGCAACTAGATAAGTCATTTGTTTTATTCATTATAATATAAAAGTTACAATATTGCAGCGAAAAAGCTCACGTTTCCACGACACGTCTAAGTTGTACATAAGTAAATATATGAGGATTTACGTAGACTTCGTCACCAACGTGTTCGTATCTTCACTAACAATAGTTATATACTTTATCTACATAGCGTTTTCAATTTGGGTAATTTTTTTTAATTTGGATGCAGCAAATCTAAAGTGATATCTGGATTTCACTTTAATTTTACATCCCCGTTGAAAAATATGAATGCCTAGCTTTAATTGAAAAGATGAAATGCAAGTTATCAAGAAAGATTAATTTTTTTTTATTTGTCGCTTCACTTGCGAGCTATCAACTATACTGTAAAAGAAAGCATAATCAAACAATCATTTTCAGGGTATTACAAAGGTGAATATCAACCTGACGTCGCAGAAGCTTTTCGCCACTGATTCGCCTCTTTTAGAGGTAAACAACTCTTTAATCTGCCCCTGGAGTAAGTGAATAGGTAATTGTAAAATAATGGGATGCTTATTCAGAATGACGGTTCCGTATTTGTCAAGGGAAACTCTAAAAAGTCCTCTGACATGCCGTGGCGAGGGAAAGGTCGCTCCCGTCGCAGTAGTTTGTAGACAAGAGACATGTCGATTGTGTTGAGCTTTGATGAGCTGCTAAATAATCGCTCCACAGCGGCAGTTTGCTAGAAGTAGAGTAGGTGTTGACCGCGTTAGAATTTTTAATTGGTAATATAAAATTATCTTCAAGTTTGGTAAGCGATGAAAATGAGATTACAGAGGAGTTGTAACGAAGCACAGCGCGGTTGTTAAACTGCCATCGGTAGGCTATTGTGCCCTAAGAAATGCAGTGTTATGAGATGAACCAAATTTAAGAAATGGTACGTACGCCTGTTCTGGCGGAGTGAAAGGCGTAAGCAGTTTGTTTATCTTTTGTTTTAAGATAGGCATTTTGTAGAATCTTAGGTAGAAGTCATCGCTGTTTTACCACGCTTTATGATTTAAAAGGTGTTAGCGCCATAGTCACTCGCTTCCTTATACGAACTTGCTTTTTGCCTGTCTGCCGTACTAATAGTTTTTCAAAAACCCGACCACACAGCTCCCAATTTTGCACCTTGAAGCTTGGTAAGGAAGTAGAAGTTGGGCTGTTTTTTTCGCCTCGAAGGGTGCTACAAGCCTACTGCCGAACAGTGTATGGGGAATTACTGGTCCAATTAGTCGGAGACAAAGTAAAATTAACACAGTAATCTTATGAGTAGTGCAGAGCTCAACAGAAATACCAAAACAAAGAAACCGGTATTTAAAGAGCCTGAGTAGTCAACACACTCTTCAAGTTGTGGATTTTCAGACGACTGCCCCATTTTTAAGAAACAACATGTAGAGGTTTGAGAACAAAGACAGGCTTAAAAGGCTTGAGATACTCGGCACGAGGAGAAAATTGGGCACTAAATCTGCCATATTACATTGTGCACACGTACCACTATGCTACAGTGCATCTGATTGTAGCACTTCTTACGGGTCATTTCATGTCGGATATACACGACTCAGTTAATTCAGGATTTTTTTTGATAAGTGAGGTCAAACTGCGGACTTGAAGAACCGGGAAAAGAATTTGAAAAGCTAGATCTTGTCAAAGTGCGGAAATTTCCCAAGTGCTTGGGCAAAAAAAATTTTTAGTCTATAACTCAGTAATTCATAAATGTAGACAGGTAAATCTAAACGTGTTTTAATTGTATTTTAATTACAGGACTGCGTTTATTTATTATGTAAAATTCTGAAATAATTAATTTTATAATGCAAAATGAAAGTTCACGAGTGTTTTCAGGAAACTTAAATTCAATTTTTTTGAGCAAAAGCATGCGTCGGCCAAGGCTTTTGTTGGATCAGTTTTGAAGTTTGCTCTGAATCATCGGGATTCTCGGAGTTATGTCAGCTAGAGGAAATTGAATTAGAGGAAAAAGGCATTATAGTGAGTGCGATACAAACAACCAGAGTAGCTCAGGCAGAGCGGCAGCGTTAGACACAATTAGTACTGTTAAGGTAACTAACGCAAAGTGCAGCGTTCGTTGCATGTTTGGAAGTAAAAAACCATACGAGATTACAGAAGTAGGAATGGTGATGTCACAAAAAAGAACCTTAATATAGTTTCTTAGTTGAGTTGCATGAATAGTTGTCTGCCACGCGTTGTAGAGTGATCCAAACGTGATGAGATTAATTTTACTAGAGATTTAGTTAAGTTACAGAGTTTCCGATGAAAATAATTAATACAGCCCGGAATTGGAGGAATAGAAGTTTAACAGCTAAAGTCGGTGGTAAAGGGGATAGCAGTCACAATAATAATCCAATAATCAAAAAACAGTAATCCTTTACAATTTTCTACTTCTTTTATACTGTCCACTAAGTTACAATTCACCATAAACAAATTAATCACTATATGAAGTATATATAAGAATTATGTAAAAACAAATTAATTATTCTTAGAAACTAATTTAGCAATTATCAGTTTAACTATTTGTTTGTTACACTTACAATTATCCTTTAGACAAATTGTTTGATTGATTGTTTCCCTCTGGTTAATTATTCTTGTCGTTGAGTACCGGTCAATCATTCATTTTATTTCTTTAAAGATGGACCCTTATCACTGTCGCTATTAATTGACATAATTTACAAAATTTTGTGGAGGGATTTCCATCCTTAGGGTTTAGGCTGACAACAATGGTCAGCTGTTCTTCCACAAATCCATTTATCTTCTTGAATTACATAGTTATCATTTAAAAAATTATCTAGAACTGATAGTTTATTTCCGCGTCTTTGACCTTTCTATTTTTGTTTTTCGATTTTTCGCTTTCTTTTAGCAATAGATGATGTGGGAAAGAAGTTGCAGACAATGGACACGTTACGCAAAGGCAATTTACTTCGTAAGAGGCTTAGTCACACTAGCTCGAACTTTCTTGTGTCTTTTGTAGTGGAGCGTTTACACACTTTTGGAAAGTGATAATTCTACAAAAATAAAAAACAAAGAGTGAAGTAGAAAGCGTCTTTCTTTAAATATTTTTTTTGCAGCAGCATTTTCTGCTCAAAACAAGCCTCTCTCTAAAGACAGTCTATTTTTCCACAGGTTGGATAACATTTTGTAAAGAAGTAATGACAGCTACGTGAAGTTTACAAGGGTGATTTTAGAAGTATCCAAAAACCTTTGGAGGTGCAGCTACTCAGCCTGCGGGGAGATTTTACTCACGATAAACAAGAATTAAGATGAAATTTTCAAATTAGAAAGCAGAGCTTTTATATTAATTTAATAATATGACAGTCTTAAAGTCTTTAAGCCCTCATGCTCAAAATTCATAATAAACTGGTGTTAGAAGGAAGATGATATTCGACAGTTAACTTATAGTAACTTTTAGGGATTTTGCTTTAGCACGGAAACTTTAATTGTAGAGATGTCCTCAGTGCTTGAATATGATACTGTAGCGCTTTTTTTCTAACAGTCGAGTCATATAGGGTTTACTTTGGCCCGACGGTTCGGAAAAAGCTTTCATGCCAAAGCACAACATTAGAATCGTTTACAGTTTAATCGTTTATAGATGAGCAGGTCTTCAAGTGTGGTAAAGGGAACTGTATCCTGCAAGAAACTTAGTTGTTGTTTCTCAAGTGGAACATCTGTCAAATATCCCTTCACATTGTACCTGCTTATTTCACAACCCCACGCAGTAACTGGACTGCTGGTTGTAAGATAGCACTCACTAGTTCGGTTCAAAAAAATTCAAACTTATGAGTTGCAAGACTTTAAAATTTGGAAAAGCTTCGTTTTAACAAAAATTTGGAAAATTTTTGCACTTAGATGGGGATTTAATTTTTCGCATCCTTCCGCTTTTTTTTATTTTTTATTTTTTTGTTTTTCAAACACGGAACCAGATTCTACTAATTAGCAGCTTTACTGATCTGCTTGTGGAGAGCAAGGTATTGCAGTTTTGTCAAGTGTTACTCCTATACCGCCTCTTTCGCTACCCTTCACTCTACCGCTGAGAGCGTTTAATGAAAAGCAGTTAGTGCATCAGTCGTTTGGACCGTCGTTTTGAGAGATTATTGAACAAAGGATAAAGCTAGAGCATGACAACTAAATATTAATTAGGTCGGTCAAAACTAGATGCTAGCTCTGCTACTTCTCTGCAGAATTTCTGTTTTTATCATCGTTCGAAATGCTTTTAGACTAAGACATTCTTTTTCTTATGAAATCAAGCAAAAATTACTTTCTTTTGAACAATTTTTGCATTGATAACTGCTTGAAATGAGGTCGTTATTCTCTAAGTACTAATTGCCCTTTTTTATGATGCTGGAGGTAGGGTAGCTAAAGGATTCTGTTATTACACAGTTCTTCTATTGTCTAAATCAATGTTAACTTCTCAGTTTATCAAGGAACTTTAAATAATGAAGCAATTAGTGAGTTTAGCTAGATAACTATCGGATTCGCTACCAAGTACCTGTTTTTACTCAAGCGACTGTGTTTGTAAACAACCCAGGAGACTTCTCAGACAAAGAACGTTTGGAACTGATGAACAATATGGTGGGAGAATTCGAAAATATAACTGGAAGCTGGGGACCTGTTGGAACGATGTATTTTGTTCGGGATTTCATGCAGTTTGAAACCGCCTTAAAATGTACATTTGACAAAAAAGCTAACCTCAATAGGAATATGTTTTAACAATTTCTTTCAAATTAGGCTGGTAGTAATGTAAACATTTTTCTTATTTACGTAAATACTATTTCTGAAAGAAAAATTTATGGTTCGATAAATTTATACTTTTAGTTGAAGAAGAAGAGTACGATTACGACCCTGAAGAACCTGATAAGAAACGGCATAGTGGTGGTCCAAACTTTAAAAACGAAGATTTGAGTACCTTTCTTGTATGGCCGGAATATGATTTTTGGACAGGTTTTATACAGCTCCAGAACGACACCATTGATGGAAGGTAATTAAGGCTGCTAAATATTGTTTTAATAAGCTTTCAAGAATTGAAAAAAGCGTCATAGTTAGTGACATCCAAGTAAAAACTTTCTTTTTTTAATCATTTACATTAAAAACCGTACGTACTTTTGTAAAAAGTTTAAAAAGAGGGCCAAGCACTTGTTTTGATGACAACCTATCATTGAGAATTTGATTCGTAGGGGAACAGTTTTGCGGTACTGAACCTGTGATGAAGAATAAAGTTCTCACAACTGGAAAACCTGACTGTGGAAATACTTGGTTGAAAGCAATTTGTTTCCCCATTTCATTCCACATTCTTTCATAAGAAACAACAAGGATATTTGTACTGGGCCGTTAGAAACATTGAGTTGGGACAAAATCGACGTTACTTTAAAGCAGATTTGTAGAAAATGTTCTCGGCACAGCTGCAGTAAAATTAATAACTTCTCTTAATACATGCATCTAGCGCACGAACAAGGAAGGGTCAGAGATTGCGATGGACATAACGGCACTCCAGTGTACGACTGCTGCAGCAGCCTGTCAGTCACTGCTCTTACATAGTCCAACGCTGTTTGGGAATAACACTGGTCTCTTTTTCGGTACTGCTGTTGAGCAGAATTTTTTCCAGCTTGCCAAATGAAACATGATAATCGAATAGTAAAATTCTGCAATAGCTACTTCGTTACTGCAATGGATTACTTCCCTGTAATGACATTATACAGTTAATTGGATATTTAATGAGTAAACTGGGACCGGGAAAGGTCAAAAATAGTGAAGCTAGAGACTCATAAATATCGACGCTTACGATAAGCTGGAGTAAGAATCCATCGTCATCTGCAGTTAAAAAAAAGTGAAAAGGATTCTCTGCTGTGGTTGTAAAAGTTTAAATTCTTATGAAAGCCCTTGATTCCCGAGCCCTGAGTAATACGTACATATAAGTACCAACAAAAAAATTGAAATTTATGAAAACAAAATTTAAAATAATAACAAAAAAAAAAAAAAAAAAAAACGCGGGTAACTTTTTCAAAAAATGCATTTTATGTGGAATTTCCTATTCTACTGAATAAATAAAGTTTTGTAGTGAGATCTTCGTGGATTTAAAATTATATTTGTTAGGTAAGGTAAGATCATGTGGAGGAAGATCACAGGAATTAAAATACAGCTTTTTAGAGAAGCTGGAGTTGCCCAAAAAGAGAAGTTTTTTTCACGTTTTCGGGCAGAATTCCTCTTCTCAAGCACTCCCTTTAGCTCTGCACATAGCAGGCCAAGATGCTCTCATTAGTAGAAATTTAAAAGAGCCTGAAAAATCAGATCTCAAAAAATGCTCAGTTTGACGCCGGATAACCCTTGTAAGTTCTAAAATTACAGTACTTAAAATCACATGTGCTTCATTCCAACTTAAAACCTCTC